CACATTGATTTGATGTCAAAACTCGGGTCTTTCCCTGATGTGCAAATGATGCATCTGTACTATATTGCTACAATCCAATCAGCTACCCTTAAAATCCATAATTTGCATACAATGCACGCTATAACTCCTAAACACACAGTGGTGGTGGATGGTTTACAAAAACCAAAAGAGAATAATTATATGAACTTACATTTTAGCCCTGAGAATATACTCATACAGTATTTCCAAATCCCCTCTGGTATCCAACCAAACATGACTCTTACATGTTGCTGTTTATACTCTGGGCTCATTATATTTTTAAAAGTACCCACTTCACTACACCACAGCTGACAAGCTTTATTTACCTATTGCTTAGACTGGACATTAGTTTGGCTGCAGATTATTAACATAATTGTTATTTTACAAAGTAAAATGCATGATGGGACGTTATACTGTAGCTCCAACATGCCACTGTTAAATCTATTCTTAGACCCTTAAAGTCCATGCTCATTTGTTGTTTGTTTTATTTTTTCGTACCTCGCTCTTTCCCATTCTAAAATTTGGAGCAAAAATTTGACAGCATCTCATTATTTTGCCTCATTATTTTGAGCTGACTGCGTTTCTAAAAGTGGGCAGACTTTAGGTCATGTTAAAAACAGCTAATTTTGTACCTTTTATAATTGTGTTAGTAACACGTTCCATATTTCTGAGAGGCATATTTCATTCAGTTCATGCTTCTGATTTCTTCATAAATTCCAAAGTGTGTTAAATATCCAGTTTCAAAACACTTTGTGTATTTTCATCACTTTCAACAGAACCCTGTTATTACTTCACTATCTCACCATCACCAGCATTAGCATAATGTTAATGCTACCTAATATAAATACTTCATCTTTGTGTGCTTTACAGCAGATGGATCTACACTGCTGACTGAGCGACTTCAGTTTTTTGCTGCAGCTGGAAATTCATCTGTTTCTACTAGAATTTTCTGTAAACCGCTAACTTTGTTACGTCTTGTCAACACATCAATGCAGAATTATTCTGTTCACAGTTAGGTTTATCTTACACAATTGAGAATATTTCAAACCTGGTTAATTTTACAGGGAATCCTGTGGTTTTAAAAAAGATATGGTTTTAATTTAAAAGGTTTTAAAAACTGCTAAATGTTTCTATTAGCTCATTTATATTTATGCATTTATATGCAACAGAAAATTACTAGTACTCTGCAAAATAAGCATTTTCACATTAGACCAAAATTTTAAATTATTCTGGATTAATTCTGTATTTTTGTTTAGGTCTTTAACCATTGTGAACTTCTCTTAAAAATAGACATTTTTTACACAGTCCGCTGGCTCTCTGGTGTTTTACTGAGCTGTCATGTGTTCTCTCACTCTCCTTATACACTGCCTGGCCCAAAAATTAGTTGCCACCTGGATTTAACTAAGCAAATAAGTACGAGCCTCCTATTGGATAATTACTGCTGGGTGATTATCTTTCAGCTGGCAAAAAGTTATTTAACCCCAACTGGTGCAATGAGTTGCTTCTAATTTTTTAAACAACCATGTCAAAAGACACATCACGTGGTAGTGGAAAATATATCAGTCTGTTTGAGAAGGGCCAAATCATTGGCATCAAGCAGAGAAAACATCTAAGGAGATTGCAGAAACTACTAAAATTGGGTTAAGAACTGTCCAACGCTTTATTAAAAGCTGGAAGGATATTGGGGACCCATCGTCTTCGAGTAAGAAATGTGACCAGACAAAAATCCTGAATGATCGTGATCAGCGATCACTGAAACGTTTGGCGACATCAAATCGAAGAAAAACAACAGTAGCACTCAGGGCTATGTTTAATAGTGAAAGTAAGAGCATTTCCACATGCACAATGAAGGGAACTCAAGGAATTGGGACTGAACAGCTGTATAGCCTTAAGAAAACCACTAATCGGTGAGGCTAACCAGAAAAAAAGGCTTCAATTTGCTAGGGAGCATAAAGATTGGACTCTGGAGCAATGGAAGAAGGTCATGTGGTCTGATGAGTCCAGATTTACCCTGTTCCAGAGTGATGGGTGAATCAAGGTAAGAAGAGAGGCAGGTGAAGTGATGTACCCATCATGCCTAGTGCCTACTGTAAAAGCCTGTGGGGGCAGTACTATGATGTGGGGTTGCTGTGGCGACCCCTGAAGAGGGAAAAGCTGAAAGAAGAAGTTTTTCCTTCTTCATTGTAAAGGTTGTAAGACAACCAAAGGTTTTGGCAAACAACCAGATTCTGTCAAGAGATTGGCTGCTGAACAACCTGGAAAATGTCTTTATGTTTCCGTGTGGTATTTTTTGCTTGTTTATCATACCATCAGAAACAGAATGCCAATTTCTACGTACCTCTAAAACTGTTACAAAATTCTCTTTATGCATGAGGTCTGACAAAATACATATTCAGATAAGATAAAATGCACATCATGCTAACCTACTAGTGCTAAACTGTCACGAAAGTTCACCTCTAAATTGTTTAAAAAAATGCTAACTAAATAAAACATTTCAGATAGGAGTAAATTAATTCAGAGTAATAGAAAATGCTGGAATGCAATTTACTGAATGCACAAAGCTATGTCACACAAGTGTTGCCCTCCTTTCAAAGTTCCTCGTACTACAAATCTATTCAATTAATCATACATACGCTGGTTATGCACACATTTTGAGGACATTCAGACAGCAACTAAACCAAGCCTCTCTAAAACACACTCCATTATTCATTAGACTGGCAATAGCTCGTCGCTTCACAATTTAAACTGGATGTTTTCAGCATCTATGGTGTTTGACCCGTCACAGCAGGACAACTCGTGGACTTCTATTTAAAGAAAGACAAGTGAAGAAGATGAAAACACAAGCTCTTTTCCTTAATAATAGCAGTAGCCTGCTTGAAATGCAAAACTGTTTGGTAACAAATTGTGCATTGCTCATGTAAAGAGTTTGACCTCATTCAAACTGTTAAAGCTACAAAGATTAAAATTAAAAGAAATGAGATAACCGTTAATACAATGCACAGCCCAGATGCGACTCCTCTAGATTTAGAATCACACATTATGGTAAAGCCAAGGCCAAAGTCCTCCTTACAGAAGCAGCTTCTCCCTTAAAACCAGCAAAACATCCCACATCATACAATCAAAAGCACCAGTTCTATCCACACCAAAATGTTATAAAGGCTCTGGCAGGGGCAAATAAATCATTTTGATCATTTTCTAAGAGACTTACTAAAAAAATAAAATGCACTTTGAAAATCAAAACTCAGCCAGGTTCACACCTTCACTGCCACGTTTATTAAAAATGGAGAACTTTATAGCTGGCCTTCACTTTTTCCAAGTAAGTGTTACTCTTGTATTGGGGGGGGGGGGGACAAAACGTCATGAATGTGTCCAATTTCTGACGACCTGCTTTATGAGAGCTTTCTGAAACTATTCACTTAACTAGGAGTGATCCATTGATTACTGTTCTAACATACCAGTAATATTAAAAAATATATTAAAAAAATTACTGTACATTTGAAAATAACACACTTCAAGCACTCTTTTCCATTGACTGGGTCTTTGAAGTCCGAAGGGTTTTCTCTTCCAATTCTTTTAGCCAGTTTCCAGGTTAATATCATAACAATGCCAAAGTTTGAACAAACCTTGCTTCCAAAACATTTGTTCTTGTAAAAGTTGCACAGACACACTTCTGCTTATGTGTTTTTTTTGTTTGTTTTTGTCTCTGCAGCAGCAGGTCATCCAACAGCTGGAATGAACAGTGCTTTTGTCATTGCTGATTATAAAATATACCAATCAGCAATGAGGATATTTCTACTGTTAGTGTTGTTAATACTCTTATGATGAATCTTTGCGCTGTGACAGCATGCACTGTTAAAGTTCAGGTTCCTGCAGCACTTCTGTTCAGGTAAGATTTATTGTCTTGATATTGTTGTGTTAACTCTTTTCAGCTGTTTGAGCTGTGTGCAAGCAGCTAAACACGCCTGTCTGTCACAGTGAACAACCTCCTAATGCTGCCAGGACCAGAACTACTCTGACCTATCTGGGATATGAACACAGAAAGGTGAGGCATATATATAATCACTGTGTTGTTCATATAGGAATAAATTGCGAAATCAACTTTAAATAAATTAAAATAAAATAAAATAACTACAGAAAAAGGTCCCAACTAAAGAGAACAAAACAAACTGGAATATTTGAGTAAAAAATGATGAGTGGGCTAGCTGTAGCAGTGCTTTCACAAAGATTTTTTTTATATATGCTGATGTAAACTGCTTAAAGAGGCCATTGGCTGTGTCCTTGCACTCGCTTTCCATCACTAAGAAAAACACAACATGAGGTGAAGGACTGTGTGCTAGAAAGCACTTTTGTAGAATGGTCCCATCTACTTCACCTATCAGATATCCTATAGCTCTGTGTTGATAATTCACCGAACTAGTCTGCTGATAAAATAAAAAAGATTCAGAAAAGTTGAAGTGAATACCAACATCTTCAAGGAACTTTTGAACTTCCCAATGCCATGAAAACGAGAGTGGAAGTATATCTGACTCAAAACAAGAAAATTTAGATAAACATATAAATTCTTGCATATTTCTCCACACACATTTTTTGTCTATAGGTGTTTTTTATGTCTGAACAAACAGAACGATATGGAAGCATTCAGTCAATCATAGACAAATGTAAAGCATTATACATGCAGTGTGATGGCCTTCAATGAATCCATGTGTGAAAATGTCATAAGTAAATGTCAATAGCTTTTTCAAGTTTGCCCTAAGGACATCCAGTGTGTCATATATACACGGGCCAGAGGATTCAGACTTCATTTCCTATGATTTCATCTATTCGTAACCACTTTAAAGAGCTCATCGGCTCAAGTGACAAATAAAAAATACATAAGTAAGGATCTTATGATCTGTTTTTGTTCAGTGATAAACCAGAATTCTCTGAGTGAATTCACAGAGGATGCCACAAGGACATGCTGCTAACACAGTCTGTGTCTGTACCTCGATGTAGGAAGCGAGTTGAGGATAAACCCTGTATGGACCCAGCACATGGGACAGGTGGGTGGTGTAAGGGAAGCTGGTGGTCACAGCATGGCTCACTCCTGGGAGAGAAAACACCTTAAAGCCGAACTTCTCGTAGAGCTTCAGCAGATCCTCATCCGGCTTCTCTTCACCCTCACACAGGACGCTGCCCACCACGTAACGACATTTCTCTGGTGGTCTCTGAGTAGACAGTGAAAGACAGATTCATCATATTTTAGATAATTACAAACACATTTTGGTGTTTCTAATAATTACAGGTTTTTTTTTAAATAAATAAAACAATGTAATGCAAATTGCTCTACAAGTTTTGGCTCTGTTTTTTTATTTTTTATTATTTTTTAATCAACTGAGTCATTTTCCTTCAATTACATCGACATGAAACAGAAAACTGTGGTCCCAAATAGAGCTGAGCTCCCTGGACAAATGAGCTCACAAAGCCTTTGATAATCCCTGAAAATCATGTACAGTAGTCGTGAAAAGAATTCCCAAAATAAAATAAAAATAAACTTTTGCACAAACAACATTTGTACAATGCTACGGTTAACTGAACCACAAAGAGCAAAGCTGTTGGTGTGCTTGACACAGGTCTGGAGAAAAGAAGTAAAGCCAGGCAATAAATGTCAATCACTCCACAAGAAATGTGCTTCAGCAGCGTTCCAGCACTGCAGACAGACCTCAGCCAGGTCAGCCTTTTGGTGGTGTACAATGATCAGGATTAAAAAACTGACCTTGTCTTCCTTCAAAACAGAATTTGGCCACAATAACAAACTGATGCTGCAGTGGTGGGGCAGTCTACAGCTGAGCAAACACCGAGGAAGGGTTTGGAGGAAACTTATTATTCAACGTTGTTTGTTCTGCAACTTTTGTTGTTCAGGTAATTTTACCTTTGATTTTAATTGACACAAGCAGCGTTAAATATTTTAGAAAATGCTTTCAAGATGATGGATGGATGGATGGATGGATGGATGGATGGATAGATAGATAGATAGATAGATAGATAGATAGATAGATAGATAGAT